ACACACACACACACACACACACACACATATATATATATATATATATATATATTCGTATATATACATGAGGGGGGGAAAACTAAAATGTATTTTGTGTGTGTGTGTTTATTAGTCAGCATCAAAATGTACATTATGAAAATTGGATATTCATTTTGAAATTGTCTAATGATTACATTTAACAGTGTTAAAAAAAACTCTAATATTGTCAGATAACTGATATGATACCAATGCATTCTGCATCCCTAATTTGTAGCATTTTCTAGCATGCAGGTTTTTTTATCTCACAATAAAATGTGAACAAGACACTGTGCCAATAGTCAAATGTTTAAAATGAGACATTTCTTAATTCTTCCCATTTTATTCAGTCAAATTTTAAGAATTTCTCAAATGACTGTCTCTCAAACCATTTCCAAACCCAACACCAAAATAAAAAGAATTTTCAATAAAATACTGTGTAAAGAAAGATGACGGCCTTTGTATCCCTATTCTGAGTGAATTAATATTGTATATTACTTTAGCTTATAAGTAATATACAGATGATATGGAGACACAAAACCTGCTTGAATGTGCAGTTCAAGTCTCACCTCCACCCCACGGAGGTGCTCCACTCTCTCCACCTCCCTCTGCAGCTGCTCCCTCTCCCTCTCCAGCCTCCTCTGAGCGTCCCTCAGTCTCTCTAGATCCCTCTGATAATCCTCCTTCCTTCCCTGCAGCTCCTGCTGCACCTCCTCCAGCTCTTTGTTCCTCCTCTGCGTCTCCTCCTCCCTCACGTGTAGCAGCACCTCCCGGTTTGTCAGCTCCTGCTCCTTCACATCCCACTCTTTTTCCTTGCGCCGCTTCTCTTCGGCGTGGACGGCCTGCTGGCGCTGTAGAGTGGCAGCCTCCTGTCGGTGCCGCTCCAAGCTGCGCTGTTTCTCCTGCTCCACCAGCGAGGGGGGACGAGAGGAGGAGCGGGACGGGGTGCGCTCGTTTAGGGCCTGACGCTGGTCCTCGATAAAAGTGTCCTGCTGCAGCACTACGGCCTGTAACAAAATCCATAAAGTAACCATATAGAACAAGCCATAGTATATACACAGATAGTATGAGGGGCAAGAAACAAGAAAACAGTCTAAATTAAATGATTATATTCAAATATATTCCTAATTATATACTCCTAATCATATTATGTATGTACAGTATGTATATATATATATATATATATATATATATGTTCTTTAGAAAACACATCCATGCATGTCATGTTTTCTTCTGGAGCATCAGTGAGCGTTTGAACTTTTTGTAAGTCCCTCAGTTGTCCTCAGATGGATCTCAAAATCATACAGTGATTGTTGGAAAGGGTTCAAAAGATGCTGGAAAACCATAGAATTTGTGGGACCTGAAGGATTTTTCTGAAGAAAAGTGGGCAGTTTAACTGTTCGTGGCAAATAAGGGACTCATGAACAACTAAAAAAACACAAAAAAAACCAGCTGTGGAAGCTGTGGATCATCCAGGGTCCAGGTAACAACACAGTATTAAGAATCAAGCGTATGTATACTTTTGAACAGGGCCATTTTTATAAATTTAACAATTATTTTATCTTGTGGACTATATGTAAACGTCTTTTATGTGAAATATCTTATGCAGATCAGTACCAAATAAAAAATAACACGCATTTTATAAGTGTATGAAAAATTTTGACCACAACTGTGTAAGATAGATGGATGGATGGATGGATGGATGGATAGATCTGAATATTTCAGAATAACAATTTATATACTTTGATTTACAAATATATATTCAGATTTACAATTACATACTCAGGATTGATACTTGTATGTTAAGACTTATAACTATTTATTTAGATACATATACATGTATAAAATGCATGAGCTTATTATGCAGAAGTAGCAGAATTTCAAAAATATATATTCAGATTTACCTATGTGATCATAATTGACTGAATTATTTTGAATTATTATTATAATCTGTATTATTGGGAATACATCAAAAAGTATCAAGATTGTAACTATACATTGCATTCATTTATTTACATATTAATTCATATATATATATATATATTTTCACAGACATATATACACATTTTTGTGTTTTTTTTTTTTTATAAATATATCGAAAGATCAAAAGTGACAGTAAAGACATCTATGATGTTACAAAAAAAATATTTTTTTCAAATAAATTCTGTTCTTTTGCACTTTGTAAAAATATTAAACAGCACAACTGTCTTCAGCATTAATAATAATAGGATATGTTTCTTGAGCAAATCAGCATATTAAAATATTGGATCATGTGACACTGAAGACTGGAGTATAATGATGCTGAAAATTCAGCTCTGCATCACAGGAATAACTTACAATATATTAAAATAGAAAATGGTTATTTGTAAATTGTAATAATATTTCACAATATTACAGTTTTTACAGTATTTTTACATTTGTATCCTTTTTTAACTGTATTTTTGTATTTTAAGATGTCAGTTCAGATGTATTCTTTTATATTTATATTTTCAAAATGATTTGGCACATCAGCATATATAATATCGGCTGTGAAATACACACCTGAAGTGAGGTCAGGAGGTCGTGAAGGTGAGTGACACTAGTCAGGGTCTGCTGTCAGGAAACACAAGCCATCAAGAAAGACATTCGTCATTTGTCTCGATCTCAAAACAGCAGGCAACAAGACATCGAAATGTATATGCTGATTATTAAAATATTTACAACTAATTATATCTGAGACTTATCCAAGTTCAAAATGTCTTACAAGACAGTTGTTATCATCTCTACATGTAATCTTAGTACACTTTGATTCTTTGCCAGTTCCGCAAGCTAAAAACGTCATCCACAGCCCCAAGACGTGCTGAAGGATAACACCCAGAACTCTAAAAGAAGCATGCTCTTCTGTCTTACCTCGCTGTTTCTCTTCAGCAGGAGCAGCAGGTTGGCGTTTCCTCCCTGTGGAGCAGACAAGCAGAGACTGCAGCTTTACTGAGCCCAGCTGAGAGTGTTTAATCAGCCCAGCACCAGACAGAGCGAGCGCAGGCCTGAGCCCAGCACACCGCTGCTCATTACGCACATTATAGAGTCAGCCGATGCTGGGTGCTCCTAATGCATGCTTATTCATTTTCCACCCTCCACTGAGCCCTCGCTGCACTAATGAGCACATGTGTGTAGTAAACACTAAATGACACTAGGGGGGAGTATGGTTCTGTTTGGGGCTGTTTATTGGGATGAACTTTTTAATGTTGTTTTAAAATATTTTAATAAATATATACCCACATACACTGGAAAAAGCAGGAGTATATACAGAAGCATAGCAATCATTAGAAATTAATATTTTTTATTTTTGAAAAATAATCACACTATTGTAAGTGTCAATTTCACCTGGATGTAGTGTAAAGAAAAATTGTGGAAGACTGTGTAAAATACTGAATTTAAGACCAGCAAGAAGCTTCCAGTTGCATCAACTTAAAAATAAAAAATAAAAAAAACATTGAGAAGCCACAATCCTACTACAGCCAGTTGGAGAACATTAAAATTAATATACCTGATTAATATTCATGAGTAATTTAATATTGTCACACTTTTTAGATATTCTTAGTTATACTTAGAGAATACTTAGATATTCAGATTTATAAATATATATACACACTAAATGTCAAAAGTTGGGGTCAGAAAGATTTTCAAACAAGTATTTACGCTTAACATGGCTGCATTTATTTGATCAAAAATACAGTAATATTATGAAACATTGTTACAATTTAAAATAAATGTTCTATTTTAAAATGTAATTTATTCATGTGATTAAAGCTGAATTTTCAGCATCATTACTCTAGTCTTAAGTGTCACATGATCCTTCAGAAATTATTCTAAAATGACAATCTGGCACTGAGGAAATATTTTGGTCACACTTTATTTTAAGGTACAATTCTCGCTACTAGCTAACTATTAACTTTTGACTTTTGCCTAAATAAACTCCTGGTTACTGCTTATTAATAGTTAGTAAGGTAGTTGCTAAGTTTAGGTATTGGGTAGGATTAGGGATGTAGAATATGGTCATGCAGAATATGTGCTTTATACAGGTGCATCTCAATAAATTATTACTGAAATAAATGAACTTTTCCACGACATTCTAATTTATTGAGATGCAGCTGTAAATACTAATAAACAGCCAATATGCTAGTAATATGCATGCTACTAAGCAACTGGTTAATAGTCAGAATTGGTCCCTAAACTAAAGTGTTACTAAATATTTCTTATGTTGAAAACAGTTTAATACCATTTAATTAATATAGAAATGCTATTCAACTTAAAAAATGTCTTTACTGTCACTTGCTGAAGAAATGCATTAATTTCTTTCAAACAACAACAAAAAATCATACTGACCCCTATCTTTTGTGTATGTGTGTGTGTGTGTGTATATATATATATATATATATATATATATATACAGTATATACCACAGTTCAACATATACAGTATATACATGTTCATTCACATACATATATATGCATAGTTTGCATAATAGGACTAGGTGTTATGTTCCCAATATTCAGCACCATTTAGCCGCACCATAGAACATCTTCCCTTCAGTGTGAACAGAACACAGCGAGACGCAGCAATTGTTTTTGGTTCAGCAAGAATCCAGGATCATGGCCTAATCCAATAATGTCCGTGGTACTTGCCTCAATACCCAATAATCAGTCGTGAATTTACAATTGCTTTATGCGTGACTGGGAACAATAAGAAAAAGGACTATTATGGTAAGATGGATAGATGAAGATGATACAATTCTTCGCTGCAGTCATTGGGTGGGGATCCTTGACGTTTTGATGATATG